CCCAGAATTCCCCAGCCAGCTTTGCTGGCTGGGGAATTCTGGGAGTTGAAGTCCACCAGGCTTAAAGTTGCCAAGGTTGGAGACCCCTGCCCTAAAGGATTCAACAAAGAGAACTTCTGTCTTGCCCTGGAGGTTTTAAGAAAAGATTCTTTCCAGACAGCTATTTGTCCAGAATGACGTAGGGTCTCCTGCTTGTGCAGGAGGTTGGACTAGTCTAGAAGACTCTAGAAAAAGGGCAGAGAAGAGCAACCAGGATGATGAGGGGACTGGAGGCTCAAACATACGATGAACAGTTGCAGGAACTGGGCTTGGCTAGTCTAGGGAAGAGAAGGACCAGGGGAGACAGGAGAGCATCTTCCAGTATTTGAGGGGCTGCCACAGAAAGGAGGAAGGGGTCAAGCTATTTTCCAAGGCACCTGAAGGCCAGACAAGGAACAATAGATGGAAACTGAACCAGGAGAGATTCAACCTAGAAATAAGGAGAATTTTTCTGACAGGGAGAACAAGCAACCCATGGAACAGAAGTTGCCTTCAGAAGGTGTAGGAGCTTCATCACTGGAGGCTTTCAGGAAGAGACTGGATTGTCATCTGTCAGAAATGGTGTAGAGTCTCCTGCTTGGGTGTGGGGTTGGACTAGATGGTCTCCAAGGACCCCTTCCAACTCTTACTCTGTTTTTCTATCTTGCAGGCTTTTGCTCCAGGCCGGCATAGACATTAACCGTCAAACGAAGGCTGGAACCGCCTTACACGAAGCGGCTCTGTGTGGCAAGACGGACGTGGTGCGCCTCCTCCTGGATGTAAGCCCCCCCCCATTTCCCAGGGAGGAAGGGTCCCACATATTTCTTCCCGAGGGGCCTGAAGACCCCCCCGGTGACTGTGGCCCTTGGGGACTGGCATCCAGGGGCAATTTCAGATGCTCTTCATGCAAAGACCCCCTCGCCTCTTCACACACACACACACACACACACACACACACACACCCTTTCTCTTCCGCAGAGCGGGATCAATGCCCACATCCGGAACACCTACAGCCAGACTGCCCTGGACATTGTCCACCAGTTCACGGCCACGCAAGCCAGCAAGGAGATCAAGCAGATGCTGCGAGGTGAGGACAGGTGGGAATCGGCAGGGGGCTGTTGATTTGAAGGGCGGATGTCAGCCTCCAAGAATCCTCCTCCTCCTTGTATTGTGGTTAGCCGGCAACAGGTGTGGATGGCTGAGGAGAGCGAGAACCCAGAGGAGGGGCCAGGAGCATTAGGGAGTGGACTGCTGCCTTCAGAGATTGTGGGGGCTGGCAGCAGCGATGAAGAGGTTCCCGAGGAGCCTGTGCCAAGTGCGCGTGCACGCAGGGCTGCTTGCAGGAAAGAGCAGCTGCAGCAGCACGGGAGACTCAGGAGTAAGGCTGCAAGGTAATGGCCCCTCCTTCAAGAAGATGAAAGCCAGCTGTGAATCGGACGTTCTTTGCAGGAAGCAAAGACGTTTTGAAACTCGGCCTCTTGGACATTACAGTATCTTAAGTTGGTATTTGAAGACTCTTGTATTGTGAAATATTTCTTATCTGTTATTCTTGGCAGCCTCACACAGTTTTGGTGAGGCTCGTGCTTATCAAAGTTAATTAGTTTGCAGCAGCCTTTTAACCAGGGATTCGTAAGAATCTTTAAAAGGTTTCTGTTCCCTTTGGTTCGTGTTTGTTTGATTGGAAAAGGGTTTGCTCCGGTGTGCGCAAATACCAGCTGGCCGGTGCACATGTGCTCGCCAGAAACTGGGAGAACAGCTGACAATGGTGCACATGCCCACGGAGTGGGCTCTGCGTGCCACCCCCTCTGGCACATGTGCAACGGTTTTGCCATCATGGGTCCATGTGATTTTTGTGCCTATTGCCTCAGATCTTGTATTTCTTCTGATGCTACCACTTCAATTTCCAGTAAAAGTCCTTTTCTCTCTAACCATGGCGTCAAAGGTTTTCTTCCTTGGATTTTGAATGGAGCCCCACCTGACATTATACAAGGTCTGAGGCAATAGGCGCGAAAATCCCATATAGAAAGCGGGGCAGCCAGAAAAAACCCTTCTGCTGAGGCTGAGCTGCACCTGGTGGTGCCCTTTCCTTCATAACTGGTGTGTGTGTATGCAAGAGTAGCTGACAACCGTTGTTCTCCGTTTTCCTGGCTGGCTGCACTTCTGCTCAAGGCAGTGAGTTTTGCGTCTTCCCCAGTTTTCCTCCCAGGAACCTTTGTGGTGGGGAAAAAAGGGAGTGGCTCAAAGCCATCTCCCTGGGACTCCCTAGTCCCAATCCAGCAGCCTACCTGGGACACCTGCCTTACGCGCATCATGGTGCCTCTTCTGATACCGGGGGAAATGAGGCCATTTTGACCATCCCCGTCTATAAATCTGACGGGATGAAACCCATGGCTCTGCCTCCACCTGCTGGCTCAGGTCAGGGAAGATATACCAAGAGTGACGGTGATGGAAGGCCGGAGCCAGAGCGCCAGGCCTGAGCCCACCCTGTAGCACCAAGGATGCTGACTCCTCCTGCCTAGCAGCCTGCATCAGAGTGACAAGGACAGGTGAGGAGGACAGAACCCCTGGGGAGGAGAGGAGGAGGAGGAGGAGGAGGAGGGCTTTACTTGCCTCCTGGGATTGGAGGAGTTCCATCCCTGGAGGTTTTCAAGAACAGACTGGAGGACTGGGATGATATAAGGCTCCAGCCTTGGGCAGTGGGGTTGGACTAGCAGACCTCCAAAGTCCCTTTCAGCCCTAGAATAACAAGCCAGGGATTTTTTTTGTCACAGTCTGAGGGTTTTGGAATATGTGGATGAGGAGGAAGTTGGGGAGCATCCTTTGAATTTTATTTTTATTTATATATTTATTAAAATTATTGGCTGCCCATCTTACCACAGGGTATCTCCGGAGGGATGGATGGATGGATGGATGGATGGATGGAAAGAGGGAGAGAGATAGATAGATGATTAGATGGATGGATAGATAGATGATAGATAGGTAGATAGATAGATAGATAGATAGATAGATAGATAGATAGATAGATAGATAGATAGATATAGACAGACAGAGAAAGATTAGATAGATAGATAGATAGATAGATAGATAGATAGATAGATAGATAGATAGATAGATAGATGATAGATAGATAGATAGATAGATAGATAGATAGATAGATAGATAGAGATAGGTAGGTAGGTAGGTAGGTAGATGATTGGATGGATGGATGGATGGATGGATGGAGAGAGGGAGAGATGGATGGATGGATAGAAAGAAAGAGAGAAAGCAAGATATACATGTAAAATAATCTAACCTAGAATAAGAATTCAGCCCCCTGCGGGGTTCATTCTGGCCAGGCAGAGTCTGGGAGACCCTTAGCAGTTTGCTGGGAGGGCATAAGAGCTGCTGACCTTCAAGGAAGGGACGGTAGGCCTGCTCTGGAAGAGGCAACAAAAAATTTTGGGTCTCAATTGTGGTCATAAACTGAGGACGTACCTGTGTATGGCCACCCTTCGCTGAGCCCAGAGCCTGTCGAAGTCCTGACCTGCTCAGATGGAATCCTGCTGAGATTGAGCTGTTTGGTCATCAGGGCAACCTTGCAACCTCTGCCCGGGAATTACTGTGGACCTGGTGCCCCCCCTCCAAGAGTGGGCCTGTGCCTAGAGGACCCCTCCACCTCCAAGAGTGGGCCTGTGCCTAGAGGGCGCTTGCTTAAGAAAAAGACAAAAATCACTACTAAAAAAACACTTTGACCGGTGCACCTCTTCCAATCCTACCTAGATCACTTCCCTCTGGTGATGGCAACTCAGGTCTTGATGGGCACTCAACTGCAGTGCCCTCTGCCAGGGGCTGCCTTTGAAGGTGACCCAGAAGCTGCAGTTGGTACAGAGCATGGCAGCCAGATTCCTGGTGGCTGAACCTATCCGGTGAAACTGCCGCTTGGCTGCCCAAGAGCTCCTAGGTTCAATTCCAAATGCCCATTTCCCCCCCTTTATGGTAGAGCACCAGGGTGTGTGGGGAGCGCTTTGCCAACATCTAACCTGCTCATCCTGCTTCCATCTTGGTTGGCATATATGGGAGGGTGTGAACCTGCTTTGATGTTCCTCCCAGGCACAATGGAAGTGAATATGGCATGAATGGGAGCAAGCCCAGAGGGCAAGGTTGGCAGTGGGAAGGGGTGCCCAGAGCACATCAGGGGCTGTCTGGCCTGGCCCGTGGTACAGGTAGCAATAGCATAGCCTTCTCCAAGCAGTGTGCAGTGTCAGCCTTTTGCCCCCAACAATCTGGGTCCTCATTTTACCCACCTTGGAAGGATGGAAGGCTGAGTCAACCCTGAGCCTGGTGAGATTTGAACTGTTAAATTGCAGGCAGCCGGCAGGCAGCAGAAGCAGCCTGCAGTACTCTGCTCTAACCACTGCGCCACCGTGGTAGTCCATCTTTTTGACCGTCCCTTCCTTCCTTCTTCCCTTCCTTCCCTTCCTTCCCTTCCTTCCTTTCCTTCCTTTCCTTCCTTCCCTTCTTCCTTTCTCTTCCTTCCTTCCTTCCTTCCTTCCTTCCTTCCTTCTTTATTTTCCTTTTTTCCTTTCCTTTCCTTTCTTTCCTTCCTTCCCTTCTTCCTTCCCTTCCTTCTTCCCTTCCTTCCTTCCCTTCCTTCCCTTCTTTCTTTTCCTTCCTTCCTTCCTTCCTTCCTTCCTTCCTTCCTTCCTTCCTTCCTTCCTTCCTTCCTTCCTTCCTTCCTTCCTTCCTTTCCTTCCTTCTTTATTTTCCTTTTTTCCTTTCCTTTCCTTCCTTCCTTTTTCTTCCCTTCCCTTCCTTTCCTTCCTTTATTCCCTTTCTTCCTTCCTTTCTTCCTTGTTTCCTTCTCAGACGCTTCGGCCGCCCTGCAGGTCAGGGCCATGAAAGATTACTGCAACAACTATGACCTGACCAGCCTCAATGTGAAAGCTGGGGACATCATCACGGTGAGTCCCGGTGGGCTTGGAATCCGAACGGTCCTGGGCCAAAGATGGCCTTTGACACGGTCCAGCCTTGCCCCCAACGGATGCCCTGCTCTCGCTTGAAGGCTTCTGCTGGGGGGAACCCCAAAACACAGGACCCTGCCTAGTGTGTCTTTCCCAACCTTTGCCGTGCCCTGGGGTGACATGATTGCCTTTGGTGATAACTTTGCCAAAATCAGACTTTTCCATTGGTTTTGGGCAACATTGTGGAATTCATTTAAAAACAGTGATATTCTGCTTAGCAAATAATCACAAAAAAGGCCATAAAATCATGTGTCCGGCCCACTTTTTGACAATGATGACTTACAACTGAGTTATAGTCATAACTCAAGGACTACCTGTAATAAGTATTAACCTTATTCCCTAAGGGCACATGGGGAATAAAGAATGGCAATTGGGGGGTGATGACCCAAAGGGGCCTGGCACAAAGGTAACCCAGTCAGGTAATCAGTAGGAGTCCCTTTATTAGCGCCAACTTTGCCTCCAATGTTGTCCTGGTTACCTTCTGGGCTGGAGAAAAACTCTCCCAGGAACAGCCTTTGGCTGCAGAAAATCAAGTCCAAAACGTGGTGAACAAAAACTGTAATGAAGGAATTGTAATAATTCGACCTGGTTGGGAGGATGCCAGGAATGCAAATAACCAAAGTCAACACAAGATAAACTCATGTTTGCTCCCAGCAGCTGCTACACTCAGCTTGCATCTCTTTTAACCTCTCATTCCCAGGTGTGGCTAATGAAGGGAATCAGGGCCCTTTCCTCCCCCATAAGCCACGCAACTCACATTGCTCCCTTCTCCGTTCCTCCTTGCGTGTCCTAGGGTGAAGAGGGGTGGGGGGTGGGCCTGGGTCTGAACTCCCACTCCTTGTTCTACCTCTTCCCTGCTCTGCCCAGCCAGACTTTGCCCTTCCCCAGCCTCCTCCACAGCCAACGGAGCCACACTGCCACTCCCTGTCAGCTGTTTGTCTTCCTCTTCCGACTCTGACAGGGGCATGACAAGGTGGCTCTGGGTTCAGGAGATGAGTTTTTGCTGGCAGAGACACATTTGTGGAGGCAAAAAAATCAAGATGGCAGCTGCAACCATTGAAGCTTGCTGTCGCCATCTTGACTTTTGGATTCTCCCCTGCAGGGGTCTGCGTCCTGGCCATTCCTTGCTCCCTTGACCCTAAAGGGATGCTTGCCGCTGACCAGTCTTTGCCTCCTCTCTCCCCCTCCCCTGCCCTGCCCACAGGTCCTGGAGCAGCATGCCGACGGCCGATGGAAAGGCTGCATACACGACAATCGGACAGGCAACGACCGCGTGGGATACTTCCCGTCCACCCTGGTCGAAGCCATCAGCAAACGCACAGGCAACTATCACTCCTGGGGAGGCTTCCCAGCCTTCTGGAGGGTGGAGGGGCAGGGGAGGGTGCTTTTCTACCCACTGTTCTCTTTGTGGCTGCTTGGGTTTGCTCTGCTTTGACTGGGGGCTTGTGTCCATCGTGGAAGTTTAGCGTTGGTGGGAGCAGCCAGTCTTTCCTTGCACCGCTAAGCATCTATCTTTTCCCCGCTTCCATTCCCCGTCTCTTTGGTTTTCACCACAAAGAGAGAGAGAGAGAGAGAGAGAGAGAGAGAGAGAATTGGGAGAAGAATTGCTGCAGCCCCAGACTCCGGGTTGGCCTAACATCTGGAAGTATTTCAGTGGGTGCTCAGATACTGCATGCATTTGATTTTAGTCCCGTAAGCAGATAAAAAACGTGATGAAGAAAGAAAGCCAAAGGGATCAAATTCCAGCCAGTGCAATCAAGCAACCACTGAACATCTCTTGAGGGCTGAGGAGCTTCAGGGCCTGATGGGGCAGCTGGGAGCCATCTTGGTGTGTGAAACAGCCGCCAGCTGAGGCAGTCGGGAATGGCGGCAGGGGCTTCTAGAGTCTCAGGAGGAAAGGCCTCTTTCCTGAATGAGCACAGACTGGAGATGTGCCAGACAGCTTGGCCAGAAGGAATAACAAGAGTGGGAAGGGACCTTGGAGGTCATATAGTTCAGGGGTCGCCAACCTTTTGGACCTCAGGGACCACCAAACTCATAATTTTAAATCCCCAAAAAAGTCTGCAGGAAAATCCCCCACCCCATTTTCCTACCGATAGATCATTTTTTATTTGGAGTCACAGGACACCATCTCCAGTTCCGTTCTCAGAGGGAAAGGAGAGAGAGAGAGACTTTTGGCTTCATGCAAGGAAAACAGCAGAAGTCTTTCTTTCTCTCCCCCAAACTCCACCAGAAATGAGTCTTTGTGAGAGTTGTCACACCAGCGCAGCTTCTTGGAGCAGGAGGCCTTGCTGGGTCTTAAAGACTCATTTCTGGCGGAGTTTGGGGGAGAGAAAGAAAGACTTCTGCTGCTTTCCTTGCATGCAGCCGAAAGCAGAAGAAGAAAGAAGCGGAAAGAAGCAGCCCAGTAGCCAGGCCAGGTGCTGGGGCGAGTGGGGCAGGTCCCCCACCTTCCCCCCTTTCTCCCTTCCCTCACTACCTCGTGTTGTTCGCAATGCAAACAACGCAAGCCTTGTGTTCCCGCACAGCCTGGATTAATTGCTTTGGGGGTGACTTTTCTCGTGGACCACCGTGGTCCCCGGCCAACTGGTTGGTGACCCCTGTTCTAGTCCGACCCCTGGTTAAGCAGGAAACCTTGTACCATTTCAGACAAATGGTTGTCCAATCTCTTCTTAAAAAGCTCCAGTGACAGAAAACCCACAACTTCTGGAGGCGAACCATTCCACTGATGGATTGTTCTGACGGTCAGGAAATTTCTCCTTAGTTCTAGATTGGAAGGATTCTCCCTTAGGATCCCTCCCCAACGCTACGCAGGCATAGAGCCAAAAGAGAGACTATCTGGAAGGGATGATCAAACTCATTCCACCTGTTCCAGCATACCCGGGGAGCACCGAGTTAGCAAGGACTCCAATCTGCTTCAAAAGCAGCCATACTTGTCAAGTCTTTGAACTGATTCCAGGATTTTCCATGTAGAAACCTGGCCTTGTGTCTTTGACAGTGGATCCTTTCCACTTTGCAAAAAAAGAGCTACAATCTTCTAGAGCATCATTTTTCTGCCTTGGTCATTTGAAGATGTATGGACTTCAATGCCCAGAAATCCCCGGACAATCTGGAGGATTCTGGGAGTTTGAAGTCCATACATCAAGTGGCCAAGGTTGGAAAAAAATTCCTCTCGATTTACCAGATCTGAGTTGCTAAAATTAAGACATGGATAAGAGGGCAGTGAAGGCTTAGCATTTTGGAAGCTCTCTGACACCTTCATCTGGCTATTTGTTGGAGTCTCAAAGGTGCTTCACCAAAAAAACAACTGGACTGTTTTTGCTTGAGGAAGAACGAGGAGGAGGAGGAGGAAGAGGAGGAGGAGTTGTTTTGTTTCTCTTCCAAGAAGCTTCATCAGTTGTGATGGTGGATAGGTACCATCTCCATAAATCCTTGCGGGAGGTTTGTGAGGCAGGAAGATATTTTGCAGCAGATCAGTTGCAAATGGGAAACTCAGTTTCTCAGCCAAGAATCCCTGGAGGCTTTTAAGAAGAGACTGGACACTTGTCTGGAGTGATCTTTAGGGTCTCCTGTTTAGCAGGGGGTTGGACTAGAAGATCTCCAAGATTCCCTTCCAACACTCTTATTCTGTATTCTGTAATCCGTAGCCAGTGGCTTCCACCAGAATCTTACTCTGTGAAGATGAAGGAAAAAGAGCCAGCCGCTTGTAGCCACAACCTTAAATTGGAGCTGGCTGATATTCATGTCCTACTTTCTCAAGGTTGGATGTCTTGTAATTAATTTTCTTACCTCTCCTCTCCTCCTGTTATTTTCCTCCACCGATCTAATACTTTGCTTTATTGCAACTGGAGATTTGGTGCTGGAAAAAAAAAAGTAGATTATCCTATTTAAATTCCTGTTACACATATAATTAATATTGTAAGCCCCAATCTTCTTTGAAGGCAGATTAAATCCTCAAGAGCGGGTAGGTGGGAGAAGCGGAACGGAGGCCTTAAAATCAGGTAGGGCCACTGGGGGGGGGTCCTTAAACCTCGCGAAGTGCATTTCACGGTGACTTCGAGCACGTCCTTTGCTGGCGGGGAAGGACCCTGCGGGTTGCAGGCATCGTTTTTTTTCTATCGTGATAATCATCCACAATAATCAATCGGGGAAGGCTCAGAAGGTTTTTGCATGCCGGATCTTACCATTTTTGCAGCCAGGCGTGTAGATTACAATCCACGTTAGTATCCCTTTCAGCAGGGGAGAAATTGAAAGAGAAAGAGGTTTCTTGTGAGGCTGTGGCAAAAAAAAGCACCCTGAGATTTCAGTGGGTGTGTGCGTGTGTCAGTCACTTGGCTGTGTGTGGCTCCTTCCTTCCTTCCACCTTGTGGGACCTCCCGATAAACTCCCATCCTGGCTCTCAGCTTGGAGCACCCACTTCAATGTTGCCTCTTGTGTTTCTGTTGTCAGGTCCGTGGGATGCAGACCCTTCCCCAGGGCAGTATCAAGCCATCTCCCTCCCAGCTGGGGTGGCTGCCCTGCCCAACGGCCTCCCTGCTTCCTCCTCCTCCTCCTTCTCCTCCTCCTCTCCCCCCCTCCATCAACTCCATTGCCTGCCTCCGTCTCCAATGCTTCCCCATCCTCAGCCTCTTTTCAGTTCCTTCGGCTACCGCTGGCTTGCCCATGGTGGCACGGAAAGGCCTTGCGCCAATCCAGGTAGACCCTCCATTGCTTGGTTTGTTTTACGTTACGTTCTGTTTATGCTTCGGCCATATTGGGGTGTGTGTGTCCGTGTGTGTGTCTGTCTGTGATGGCCCAGGGCATGGCACAAAAGCAACAAAGTCACAAAAGTCGGTAAAGTCCCTTTAATACCTCCAACTTGGCCCCCAATGTCCAGTTATCATCGGCTGGAGAAAAAAACTCTCCCAAGAACAGTTTTTAAAGGGAAGAAATTCCATCCAAACTCAAAGTACATATAGATTATAAATAAAAACCAACACAAACCACGCTGCAGCAATTAACAAGAGAGGGCAGGATAAGGGATTGCAGACTTCCAAAAGATAACGAAACATACACAGCTGGGAGGATGCCAGAACCCAGACCCCCTCGACAAGCCTCCACAAGCAAATATAATGCACACTTTGCTTCCAGGAAGGTGCTGTGCACAAACGCCCTTTTTAAATCCTGTTTTTCCAGCTGCAGCTAATGAAGGAAATCAGGGCCCTTTCCTCCCCCATAACTCACATATCTCACGTTGCTCCCTTCTCCGTTCCTCACTCCCTATGATGAAGAGGGGGTGGCCCTGGGTCTTCCTCTGAATGCCCAGCTGAACTGTGTCCCTCCCCCATTTCCTCCACAGCCACCGGAGCCACACTTCCACTCCCTGTCAGCTGCTCAATCTCCCCCTCAGAATCAGACTCCAATAGGGGCATGACAGTGTCCTTCCACCGATCATGACAAATATTTGTGTGGGTTTTCATTTTGCCAGGTTTCTTTGGGGTGCTTCTCACGTGCTGGTGTTTTGTGGGTCAGCATGTGTGGTTGGGCTGATGAGGATGAGGTTGATTCAGAGGTTGGGGCAGAGTAGGGGGAGTGAGAGGACACCAGGGACAATGAGGGCATATCAGGGGTGCTCTCACAAAATGGCTGCCATGGAAGGCAGGCCCAGGCCCAACACCTGTGGATTAGAAGACCAACAATCTTTTGATAGATATTTTATATGCTGTTTGTGACTTTTTATGCATTGATGTTGTATTCTGTTATGTGCCAGCACACATACAATCCCCCTCTCTCATTTATTGATCAATTGGTCTGTCTATCTGTCATCTGTCTGTGTCATCCATCTATCCATCCAGCTATCATCTATATCTGCCACCTATCTATCTGTCATCTATCCATCCATCCCTATCTCTCTCTCTCATTTCTCTCTCTATCTTCCTATCTTACCTACCTATCTATCTATCATCTATCTATCTATCTATCTATCTATCTATCTATCTATCTATCTATCTATCTATCTATCTGCCATCTGTCTCAATCTATCCTCCCTCCCTCCCTCCAATCATCATCTATATCTGTCATCTATCCATCTCTCTCTCTTTCCCTCTCTCTCTCATATAGTGTATATATTGTATGGCATAACAAAATATAGCATTGATGCTTAAAGAAATCCCAAAACAGCATATAAAATGTCTATCAAAATATAAAACATTAGAGCATTGAATTACTTTAAAAATACATAGCATGAGTGATGAATAAAATTATATACAAAATTAAATTATGCACAAGCAGTTACTGGCTGGCTAAACCAATGGCCAGCTATCTAAATCATTTTACACAGTTGAGAGTAGTAGAGACCGATGGGGGTGGAGGCTGGAGGGCCAGGTATTACTCCAGAAATAACTGTCAGGAGAAAGGTGGATTTTGGAGGCACTTGCGGGAAACGGCTTGGGAAGGAATTCGGAGTGTGTGGTTTGGGAAATGGCAGAAGGCAGAGAATGGTCCAAAAAGTCAAGATGGCGCCACCATGGTGCAATCAAATCTCTGTCTGCTTGTTATGGCGTCGTGGTTCTCTTGAGTTTCTTGGCCATGCCCTGCGGACATCCCAGGAGAAGAGAAGGGGTGTGAGAGCAAGTGTGTAAGCCTTGGTTTCTGTTTTGTTTCCTTGATCCTTTTTATCATTTTATCATCTCCCTTTCCTGACCTTCCGCTACCTCAGCCAACCCTCACAGGCCCTGGGTGCTTCTTCAAGGATTTGGGTCTTGTTTTCACAAGTGTTTAATCCAGTGCTTCTCAAACTTGACAACTTGAAGATGTGTAATGTCAGCCTTCCCACTCAGTCATCTAACTCAGCTCAACTCCTGGCCCGTTGTTCCTCAAGAGCATACTTTACTAAAGCTTAAGTGGTTGCAGAAGTAGCGACACTGGATCTGGCGTTTTCCGTGTGCAAACAATACAATTGACTCTCCCTTTTCCCTGCCCATCCCTCTGTTATCAGTCACTGCCCAATTAGTGGTCCAGATTGTTTTGGGTAATGGACCCTCAATTCAGGGCTTTCCAGCTCTACATGGTTGACCTTTGGCTTGCTGGTCCGTCTCCTGCCTCAGCCTGGCTTGGCTTGGTTCCCGTCCCCCCACAATTCCACCCTATATTCCAGCCTGTCTTCCCTCCCCCCAGCCCCCCTCGCCCTTGTTAATGTCAGGCTGTCAGCTTGCAATGATGCCTGGCTAGCAATGATGCCTGGCTAGCAGAGTAGCAGCTTTACTGGCTGGGGAATTCTGGGAGTTGAAGTCCACCCATTTTCAAGTGGCCAAGTTTGAGAACCACTCTTTTAATTAATGCAGGGTGCATCAGGGTCGCACAGTTGTGCCCTTTCGGTGAGAATGGACAGAAAACCCCCCTTTTCCTCCTGAATATCTGTGGAGATTCTCTGTCCTCTAGGTCAGGGGTCTCCAACCTTGGCAAATTTAAGACTTGTGGAACTCTGGGAGTTGAAGTCCACAAGTCTTAAAGTTGCCAAGGTTGGAGACCCCTGCTCTAGGGTCATGGTTGTCCCAAAAATGTTGTGTTTTTTTTCAAGAGGCAACGGGACTTTATTGGTTTTTCTTTGAAGACGTTTTGCTCCTCATCCAAGAAGCTTCCTCAGCTCTGACTGGAAGATGGGGAAATGGAAGGATTTACACTCCTTGCAGGCAGCTCTTTTCCTCCTCTTTACCAGGCAGCTCAATGAACCCAGAGGCTGGGTCTCCGATGTTCTGGAGCTCCCATCCTGCTGCATCCATTTACATTGCGTGACTGCCACACCTACAATGCCAGCACCACCTGGATGGTGCCATGCTGGGGAAAGGCAGGCTGGAGCATGAGAAGGAGCGAACCAAACTCCTTTGTGGTGCAGCAGCACTCACCGTCAGGGCTCCGGTAGTTACCCCTATTTAAATCATGAGTCTTTGGCTTGATTTTCAAAGCTCAAAGAAGATTTATTAGGAGTTAACATGTCCAGCACTGCCTGGGTGTAGCTGACTCTGAGACACATCATTCACTATCACCCTTGACCTGGGTTTCCCCCCACCCCCTGGGTGTATCATAATTCATATTCTCCAATGGGACACATCCATAGCCAAGAGTCATCAATCCATCAGGCTCTCCAGTTAGAATTATATTCTCCAATGGGACACATCCATAGCCAAGAG